AGGTTTTTTTTTGTTTGTTTAATTTGGTCGCCCTAATATATTATGATAATTGATAGCATAATATATGAGGCTGACYTATAAGCCAATAAGACTGTACTTTATTGTTTTCAAATGAGTAGAAAACGATGAAGACTGAGCGCAAAAATCAAACAGTATTGACGAAAAGTGGATCTTAACTTCGATAATACGACTTTGAAAATTGAATTTATGACAGTAACACAACTCCTTCATTTTAAAATAGCAATATTCTTTATATTGTCTTCGTAAAGTAATTATTTTTCACCTTTCGATCACATTGTCTCTTATATAATATTCTTATATATTACCTACAGGCTACACTATAATATACTCGCAGTGCGTGTTCCGATAAAATGTACTTGGCGTGCATCATACGGGTCATATTATAACGTAAGGTACGCTATTATCAGATGAAACCGCGACGATTATACGGAACAATGTTTTTATCTAAAATTACAAACGGAGAAAATGTTAAAACTTTTACGGAAATTCGAAGGGCGCAACTTTTTATAGAACTTCACCCGTTTCCGCGGCCATAATGTGACCTGGTGTGGTTTTGACGGAGAAGGAAAATAATTATAAAATAAAACGATTCTATCCTAGTGAAATGATTTGGTACATTAATTAATAATTTAACGACAGCTATTATAAAGTGGCATTGTGGACTCGTGGCGGCGAGTCCATAATATATAGATCCGCTGCGTGCGCAGCCGTCGGGAGGCTGTGTTCTGGAGACATCAAATAGTATTATTACCATCATAATGGTACATGAAATTAATCATAAATAATAATAGATTCTTATATTATTCGTATTTTTATTCAGGTGGATCATCATAATATACCCACCAGAAATCGATATTCGATCCTACGTGTACTTATGTAATTATTATAATATCAAAATTAAAATTAATGTCCATTCATAAAACTATCTCGTCTGACTAKGATATTAAATAAGACATTTCAATCAGTACTGATCTGATTCAAACACACAATTTAAATACGATAGGTACCTGTATCTAAAATAACCGAGATTTTTTTCATTCCAGTTTTCCGACGAGGAAATTTCCATTTTTTTCATTCCCATACCTCCCAAAGTGTCATCACGTCGCCCTTTTTTTATTTCCCTAACTGAATTCCGGAATTACTATTACCACCAGTATCGACAGCAGACGTTTTTCAAACATTTAAGTTGTTTCTGAACTATGACCAGCGCACAGCAACTTGATACGGTATAAAACAAAAAAGTGAAGTGGGGTCGCCGTTGTTCAATAGAGAGTGAGAAAATTGAAAACTTTAAGTATTTTAAGTAGTACCGTTTATACGTTTAATTTACCCAAGGAAAATAAAACTATCTATAAGATTTATATAGAAGCGTATTAAAATAATTTTAAAGACATTTGAAAATATTATTGTTAATTGATTGTATTCGTAAATACGGAGACTTTATAAATACGTATTTATCACTCAGTCGAAGTAATATAAAATAATATTATGTGCCTACTATAGGTACTTATATGATATTATGTAATTGCATTTTGTAATATACTGCAGTACAAAACGTTGCGTATTGCGTTACAAACTGCAGAACTTCATACGATCGTACTAAAATCGTTTATAATCGCTATCAGTTTCGTAACATTCGTACCAATAATATTTTAATATAGATTTAAAGGCTTCTGATTGTGGCTGTATCTCCGTTGCGTGTGCGTGTAGAACAAACAGGGCAAAGCTTTGAATGGATGTTGTGGGGTTGTCGAGAAACTCCGGTTTGTAAAGAATGGTTGAAAAAAAAACATAAAAAWATAACATCTTCTCGTTTGCTTTTTTTCTTTAACAATAATTAAAGGCTTGTATATATTATAACACGAATTTGCGGTTATTAGAATTCCAGTAATGCAGTTAAAATATGTTTTCATTCGTGGTTAGACATTGTCATATCATTATAGTAATAATATTAATATACAGTGTTCGGTGAATAAATTATGTCTGCGACAGTTGGGCCGTGCGTAATGGTTTTATTGTTCCATTTTTTTTTTTTTAAATAATAATCACTGTAAAACTAACGTGCTGAATAGTTAGCATTTTAAAAGTTCTTGCGCTGTTTTCCATAAAAGGTGTAGATTCATAACATCGTTTTTCAACTTAGGTACTATACTTATATTGCGTGTACCTACTATAAAAAGCTACATAATATATGGAGTTCCATGTTGGCCATAKCATTTTATRAAAATGTAAAAAATTATRATATTAAAKGATAAAAGTCATAATCAGTAGGTAAATCTGGATGATTCTATATAACAATAARTGCTCCATAATATGTCAATATGATTATAAAGCAAAATTACGCAATGATTTTCCTCATGTAGATGTTCTAACTCTTAATCCATAAATTAATAAATAATGAGTCTAGTACGTTCAATATTATATTATATTCATGACCAAACAAATAGGTTTTATTACAAAAAATAAAAAATARAGTGTTTTTCTAGTTTGCGCATATCCACAATACTATTGCTCGAAGTTCTCCTAATTTTATCGTCAATATTTATAGAATATAATAGAAGTGGAAAACCTCGCGATAATGGTGGMATGAGTATTACAATGTTGTGATCATACCTATTTATTTAGTAACGATTATACTACTTCAACAATACCGTGTCTAACTATTACAATGGTTACACTTTCCAATTTACGCAAATTATTGCGATGGATTAAAATTTCCTTTAGGCGGTAAAAATGAATCACTCGTCATGATATTTCTATTCATGATAACGGATAAGTAATCATGAAATAATACGCATGTGTTCATTATTAGACATTATACAACAGTGCACGTGTTAATTGATCTACACATATGGTTTGTGATGTTAAAGTCAATCTGGAAAAGTAAACATCAGTGAGTTTTATATAATAAGGTTTTAATAATTTTGACTCAGTTATTTGTGTTGGTAAGTCATTTTGAATTACCTATTGTGTTACAATTATAAGAGACGTGTCGATGGCTATAAATAAAATTACAGTTTGTTAGTATTATGCAAGAGTGATACTGCATGTAAATCGCAGAATATCATTTTAGTTATGACGCATACCTGGTACAGTACTTTAATATTAATAAGACACCTGAAATATTGTATCGCTTATATGATACAACATCCGTATCAGCAATGTGATAGATTCGTTCGTCTCGAGATTTGGATATTTTTTATGAAGTATTAACCACATAATATTATTATTTCCATCATTTTATATTGTTGAACTTTTGTTTCAAACACATTAGGCACACACGTTTTATTATACYCAAGTCACCAATTCAATATTGTTATCGCGAGAACGCACATTATTGTAACTGTTGTAACATTTTAATCGATAATCGTGTCGGACGAAGAAGATGAAAAAAACGGTACAAGCGCATGTGTACGCTGAAAAAAAAAATCAAAATATATTACATAATATTGGACCAGAAAAACAATCTGGAAAACTTCAGCTGCCACCCCGGACAAAGTATGTGGTAGTGGTGGCGGCGGCGGCGGCGGTGGCGACGACGTTAATTTCTCTCAGCCGGGTAAAGTTTTCACCGTCTAGCGCAGAAAAGTTGTGGGACCGCGAAACCTCCTACTTCTGGCGGTATTATAGGCCGCGGTATATATAATATTATAACCGGTATTGTAGACAGTGGCGTGAACCATTAATTCGCCGTGGGTTTTCATCGGAGAAACAACGGCTGTGCTGTGCCTGTGACGGATTAAAATTTCGGGTGCCGATCGTTTGTATAAAAGTTCTATACTTGAAGCACACGMGAGGGAGGTGGTGGTGGTGGTTGGTGGCAGGGGTGTGAAGGTGTGCGGATAATTTGATCTAAATGAGCCGATTTGTTATCCCGCCTGCTGTTCGCCATTCTCCAACACCTCCTCCGCGTCTTACTTTATACATATATATATATATATTTAATTTATACGAGTAATTTATGCCGTAGTTCAACGTTTCTCGGACAAATTCGATAATAATTTGGTGTAGGTTCTGTAATACCMCAAACTTAAAATTCTAAGAATCTCAACGATGGATTGGCACCGAACCAGTTTAATTTGTAGGTGACAAATTAGAAAGATATACGCACACTATTTAGATTAGTCGTACTATAGTTAGATATACGATATAACTTATTTATTTGTGTAATTATTGTGAGCCTCGTGTATTTTGCGCCTTAAGCATTTTAAAGAGTCCTTTATTTACTTTACAAGTAAATCCTCCACAAAAAAAAATAAAAGTCGTAAAAAAATTGCATTACCTAGTATTGTTAGATTTTCTATTAGTATAATTACATAAAAAACATAGGTTCTCAATGAAAGTCTATAATAAAGGTATTCTTATTAAAACAATGAAATATTTTCTTACACGTATTTGATCACCTRTTATTCGATAATAACTATGCTACAAAATCATAATAATATCCTGATAGGCAATTATATAGGTATTACCTAACATTACGTCGGGTAGTATCAGTTCTTTAATATTATGTCCGAACACCAATGAAAGTTATTTTTTCAATTACAAGTACAAAATTGGTTGTCATACTAATTATGATTGTTTATTSTGTATTATATTCTAGTAAACTATTATAACAGTATAGGCCTTATACTAATACCTACTAATACTTATAGTATAATAGGTAACAGTCATTGCATATCGTTAGTTAAAATATATCGAATTTCTTCTTCTTCTTCTTAAAAAAAATAAACTCTTATTGTAATGATCCTCAAAGGATAAAGTCTTATCAAATGTTTTACTAATATACATAAATGTTGAGGATAGGGTGATAAATTATCGGTTTGGCACAGAGAAAGTAAGTGCTCATATTGATATATTCCGCTGGACAAGATGAATAAAATAATTTAATAGTTTCGAAATGCGTTACTGATCCGAAACATYATTGGGTTATAAATTACCTTGAATGAAAATTTAAAAATCCATTTTAGTTCACTCACCTGCATCTATTTTCTCACTGCCTGTGGCGGCTGACCGTAGAATTGTCTTTAAATCGGTAAACGACTCTTTTCCGTTGGACGACAAATTGTACGACTCGAAATAGTCAGTGACCGTCGGCCGACCACCACCGGCCGACAACGCCTTGTCGCACTGTTCCGCGAACGCTTTGATCCGCGAGTCGATTAATGGCTGTCCATATACGCACGTGGCCACCACCGTAGTTGCGCACTTTTTTAGTTCCACCCACGGCATTATGGTTAGCCGACGGTTGGCCACGGCCTCCAGCGACGTGATGAGCTCGGCCACGCACATGGCCATGGTCGGCAGCACGGCGGCCACCGCATCCGCGTGCACCGCCGACGGCAAGAGGCTCAATTCGTGGCCGCCTCTGGCGTCGACCTCGCCAAAGCCGTCGTTGGACATCGCGGCCGCGGCCACCAGGATATCACACGCCAGCGCTGTCGGCCGACCGGCATCGTGGAGACCTAAGGCGGCGGCGCCCGCGGCCTTCGCGTCGTTCAGGTGGCCGGACAGTGACCTGCCTTGCAGCCGGATGCCCGGCAGCGTGCAGGCAAATGACCGGTAACCGGCCGCCGTCAGAACCCCGCGGCTCGTCCAGTAGTCACGCTTCCGACGCGCGTACGGCACCACGACCGCGAGCACGACGAAAATCRCAAACGCCAACACCTCCAACGTCCACGTGACGTACGATCCCATGGCGGTTGTTGGTACGACTGCAGCGCCGCTATATACGCGTTGTCYGGAGCTAATGAAAATCTGGAACATAAAAGTATTTTAGTGTCGGTATATTTTTGCCATTTATTCCTCAAGTTTTAATTCGATTTTCCACTAAATGTTTTGATCTGGACTTTTAGTGTTTTGATATTTGAATTGTATATTATATTATTGTATAACATAAATAAATATGAGTAAACATTTCATTTTATATCTAATCGCATTTTTATATTATGTTCCCTTYTTCCTCATTCTTTTAGTAACCTAAGCAACGRGCAAGCGATTCCATGTCAGTTTTCTCATAAGCGCAGCGAATTTTATCGTTGATWCYCACCCCCTTTCCCTCACCACAACAACCAAATTGTGCTCTCTACGAATCGTACGCCGATTATTTTGACTCTGTTATCCATAATTTCTCTGACCAATTATTTTTTAGAGGCGAATCAAATTCACCTGAGATTTTTTGGTAAAATTAAGCTACAATTATCAAACCTGTTTTATATAAAATGTTTTACTCGTGTTCTACGGATTTTCGTCTTTCTTTCTTCTTAAAAGCATATGCATATAAATTTCCCTGATTTGAATACTTTTTTCTTGATTTAATATTTTCTTTTTTATTCTCTGGATGTTATGAATATGTATTGTGAAAACAAGTTGTAGAAGTAATCAATAAAAATTATATAAAACCATTTAATCGTGTTAACTCTACATTTTCCCGTCTAATTATAACTATCTGATTGTAGATTTAGACTCATAATTTCTGAATATATGTTAATTTATATGTCTATAAAAATTCATAAGATACTGAGTTACTCTGATTTAATCTCAATTATGTTTTTTGTAATTTAAGACAGTCATAATTTAATCAAATTGAAAATCTGTCTTATAGACGATTGGGAATCATTTTAATCATAGTTATTGATCTTAATTATCTATATTAATCAGTTGACAGTTTATATTAAAGCATACTGAAAAACAAAGGTTATCAAATAATAATTATGTAAATTTTTGATTGTTACTACGAATGTGCGTGGTGATAGTTCAACAACAATTGTTTAAGTGTAATGCATTATTTTTTTTATCATATATTTTAAATTGTTTAATTCCATAAGTACATGTTTTTAGATGCATATTTTATGATTCTATTTCTATATAGTACTTCTAAGTCTTTGCTCGAGTTAAAATTTTTTTACGATATTGAATCTATTATTTACGAAAGTATAATACTATCCATAAATTTAAAATTTACACTAAAGTTTATAGTCACAAAGTTACTATAGACCATTCCAGTAGTACATGGAGTTAACCTCCTACACAATATTAAAATATCTGTTTTTCTTGAATAGGTACATTACTTTGATAGTACTTATATAAAAACATTTGTTTAATATCTATTAGGGTCATAAAATATTAATTATTAACTAAACACTTTATAATATTATAGAATTGGAAATCCCTAGGTTTTTAGACATTTTTTTTAGCACTGTATATATATACTTTTTTGTTAGCACTTTATAACTATACAATAAATCATTTKTATAGAGTAGTATGATATATAGAAAGAGATAATTTTCAATAAGAAAAATTAACATTTTAATTAATAATTTAATTTAATTATATAAATTTAAGGCTTTATTTAATATTTCAATGGACCAATACGAAATATACAGCCTACATTTTTAGTAAAAAAATATATATATATATATATATATATAATAATAATAAAATATTAATTAAGATTTAAACTGTTAGATAGAAAAAGAATTATTTATACATGCCTAAATAACTCTCAAGGATTATCATCAGACGCTCAGTCATCGTTCCGTATTTAAAAATGCCAACATTAATGCTAAATACACGTATTTCAATTTTTGAGTCTATCGTATCTTAAATACAGGGTGTCTCACAATAATCTGGCATATGGAATAACTTTTGTAATATTGAATATTTAATTTTTTTTTCCTGTAGGGTTCATAGACACTTGCATTTTTAGTATAATTTTTTAGTTTTTAATACTTAAAATAAAAAAGTATTAAAAATTGATGAACATTTTTTTGGATAAATTCAAAATAGTCTATTTGTGAATCTGATCATAAGAACCATTTTGATGATGGTAAAAAGATTTATCAAAGTCAATTAGTTTGTTTTTTAAATTCAATATTTTTTTATTTAAATTAATTTGGAACGTAATAACATTTAAAAAATATAATTTTTGTCAATTTTCTAATATGATTATATTTTTTAAATTATTTACTTTTCATATAATATTAAACATTTTTGTATACGTTTAATTAAAATAATTTTTTCTTGTCATATCTTTCTGTGACACTCTGTATATATATTTTATAATGACATATTTTTATTGGAATAAAATTATGTTTTACAATTCATATTAATAAAATCAATGTTATGTTACACAATTTTTTATTATAGTATTTTATAGACGTGATTATAATTTCAAAAGTACTTATGAATATATGAATATAGGTATTTTAAAAATATTTCAGATTGTTATTTGTAATATTTAAATTATAATTGTGTTATACTACGATAATTATCGATAGTAACTCCATGTCCTCGAGTACTCGATGGAATAATATTAGTCATATTATRGTTGAAAAAATTTACATATTATTGTTATTTTTTWAAAATAATTAGTGTATATTATATTATTTATTATGTAGGTTTAGTACATAATATATAATACACAAATGATATAAGCCAATTAATAATATAACGTTGCTACAATGCTAATTGGAGTTCTTGTTGTACATCATTTTTAACAACAAAAGGCCCGTTCTCATCTTAAATGTTATGGTTGTTTATCATTACAATTCCCATTTTATTTTTTATTTTTTCGTTTCATTGTTATAAATAGTTCCGATAGTAAATCTCTCGTCAAAATTCATATTACATCGCTTCCTATTTTTTTAAGAAATAATACACGTTATAGTCCGCTTTTAAAAGCCTAACATTTAATTGATACCTAGAGTTATCTGAATTTCGTTCACTCGATTACCTATAATGTTCAGTACCTAAAATATATTATCAGTATGAAAAAAAACCGACTAAACAATTGCAAAAAAAAAATGATCTATGAAAAATTAAACTTTTATTTGTCCCTAATTTATMATTAACGAGTTACTTATTACTATTAAATGTAAACACAAGTCAACAAAGTAATACTAAACCACATTAACTGTTGGATAGGAAGATTCGATAATTTTATGTTTATTGAATTTTTAGCAGTCTTTTAAATTAAGGTATTTGATAATGGATAATTAATTCTATTTTCCATTGATTTTAAATTACTATATAGGCTACATAATAAACATCCGTATCATATTTTTTATTTGATAATAAGATAACTTTACACAAATTATTCTTCAAAATCAAAATCTATTTTTTTAAATAAAATTATACAATTTAATTTAGTTTGAATATATTCCATATKTTTTCAAACAAAAACAATTAGTAATAAGAGTAACAAGATAAGTATTTATAAAAACCTGAATTACGTGAAGGGGAGACCATTCATTAACAGAACCTCTGAACAAATTATATTATAACTGTATTAACACACTATAATAATATAAGAATATTTTTTGTTATATTTTTATAAAACATGAACAATTGTTGTCTCCAGAGGTCATGAATAATGCAGAATCGCATTAAATCAAATCTAATCAGCCCCGTTTACTTATTATTTATTTATGCGTGTAAACTGTAAATATATGTAAAAACAATTTTTGTATTACATGTTATAACTTGATTGTAATATTTTCCCAGAATATTAAATTTTATTCCTCACTCCAAACAATTATTAAAAATTGTCTCGGACAAATTATTATTTAATTGCTCAATCATCGAAAACTGAATTTGTGTACTTAAACRTTCGACGACAGCGACGCCACTATATATATATATATATRTATATATACACTATACTTTATGATTAATGGAACGAGGCAACGTGCATAATATAAGATTAGGACTTGGACAGATTTTCGACCACAGAAACCACATTCACAGATTTCTGAAAGGGTGCTAAGCCCCGTCGTCGCCCATTAACCTTTTGAAGGCCCTATTAATAATGGGTAAACATCAGTTTTCAATCGAATCAGATTCAATTTGAAAACGGCCGCGTTATGTCTACAATATCGCATCTAAATATAGAACCTTGCATAAATTTCATCGTGAGAGTGACACGTATTATAATAATGTCACGATCATCTCAATGATATTATTAGGGAGCCGGCTGTTTGTGAAATGAAAAGCTACCACCCGTTCAGGTTTGGAATTAAAACAAAAAAAGCGGATAAGTCGTAGATGACAGTTTGCTGTACAGTAGGTTACAAAAGTGGGTTACTGTAATGGATGGAATTTAATTTGAATCCAATGATATTATACCATTGTATACGAAAAACGATTCTGAGCGTAAACGGTTTATCTGTCTATAGRATATATTATAGATTATTAAAAATTTTCAAATCTTAGATTTAAAAAGGAAAATTATTATGAATAATTTTCTAGCTTAAAATAATTTGCGAATTTTAGTGATTTTTACGT